GAGATTAGGCAGAGGAAGCCACCCATAGTGCAGATACCTGCTTTACTCACATTGTGGTTACAGTGATGAACTGTTAGAAATCCAGTACCCTCAGGAAAACCTTGCAGTGTCCCCCTCTCCATTTTGAGCTGTCTGGACTCTTTAGTTTCATAGATAACAAAACATTGCATGCTGAGAAAATAAATATACCATAATAGCTACTGTTCCTCAGATTTGGTGTAACCAATTTTCTGTTACTTAAATATTTTTCAGCAACTTTGTAATCAAGAAAGCAAACAGAAATACAACTACTTTGAAAACAGTTGCTTAACCTAAAGTCAGTATTTACTAAATGCCAAGTTTTGTACTAATTCTTAATATTTGTCTCTGCTAACTAAAGCCTTTGAAGGAGAGAATTCAGAGTGGGCTGTGACTTCTACAGAGAATGGGAGGAGCTGGGGGAAGATGGGTGGTTATATAGAATAAGTTTCATATACCCAAGCATGACTTGGCTAACAACTTGTTATAAAGTAATTTTATACTCAGATTTATTCTAGCCCAATAAAGGTATCTGAGGTATCTGTAGTTTGGCAATAGTATAGTTCTAACCTACTTATGTCTTTAAGCAAATTCAGCACTTTTGAGCCTCAATAGTTAGTTCCAGAAGCCAAGATTCCATTCCAATACAATACTTTCAGATTTCTTTTATGTCAGCCAACTTGATTTTTCTTCCAATTTGCTTTCCTCCCTCCTAATTAGGGACAGAAAAATCTCTTTCACTGCACTCATCTTTGATGTCCAGTTGCCCGACTATGCTACCAGTAGGTTTGCTTACGCTGTACTATTTTTCTTAAGCTTAACTGAAGTTTTAGAAAGTGAAATAGTGCCTGGATAAAACATGATGACATTTGGCAGTTTTGTGAAGTGGGATCCATGGAAATGTCTTGTGGTAAGAAATCCATCAAGAAAGAATGCATTATTCTCCTTTGGGAAGGGAAAACAAAAGTCAACTTTAAATCCCTTGATGAATTTCAGACATGCTTATCACTGTTGGAAAAATCTGTGGGAGATGAACAAACCTTACTTTCCCCACTGTAGATTAATTTTTATGTCTAGGATTCTAGTTTTTGTTCCTGAAGCGTGCTTTTTGGGTGGATGGGCCACAGAGGCAAGACCTCCAGGGCACTTAGATAAGCCTTCTCTGATAGGTTATGGTTTAACAATGCCTGGTAAAGAGACCAAAAACACTGCTGCTGGTACGAGTGAGACACTGTTTTATTCTTTCTGTTCATGTAATTGTAGCTGTCTGGAACTTCTCTCCCTTCTGGAAGGTTTGCTGGATGTTAATATTCGGATGTTCCTGAGCCAAAATGCAGCTATCAGCCCAGATGCTGATGTGGCTGTGGGAAACCACAGAGCTAAACTAAGACTGTGCCTGTGCTCCCCCTGCGTAAGAAAGAGCGTCATTGAAACAGATGTGAAGCCTAACTTCTCCTTCCTTAGTGGTTTGCAGGAAAAACTTAGATAGCACAACAGTGGCAATTCACAATGAAGAGATCTACTGCAAATCCTGCTATGGAAAGAAATATGGCCCCAAAGGCTACGGTTATGGCCAGGGTGCTGGTACGCTGAACATGGACCGGGGTGAGAGACTGGGCATCAAGCCAGAGAGGTAAGATAGGAGAGCATCTATCACTATGAGAAATAAGTTGTAACAGTTTGAGTTGGTGGCAGGAACAAGAAGTCCAGATTTATAACTGACTTTTAGCTCACAAAATATGACTCAAATTTTCTAACATAAATCACCAACTATCCAAGTTCAAAATGTGATGATTTGAGGCCCAGCAAAGTTACTATTTGCTGTTTTCTAGTTATGGCTTTACAGTTTTCCAAGAGCTATCAAGGAGACCTTGTGGTCTCAAAAGCAATTTAAATTGACTTGCATTTCACACAGTTTTGGAGACCAAATGTTACAAAATTTGGCCATGGAGAAATGTGTATGAATAGTTTTTTTCTCATGTGCAAGTAAGTAGTCTCTTAAAATTTCTCCCTGCTTTTGTGTAAGAATTATTTCTCCAGAAATTGCTTTCCTCAAATACATTAAGAATTGGAATTGTTCACTGTGGTTTGTTTTGAGAGAGAACACTGTTAAACTTTAATTAAGGCTGTGGTACAAAGTATCAAAACACAAAGTCTGTTCAAATTTATCACATTTAGGTTAAATAATTTATTTAAAATTCTGTCTTAATTTTTTTAAGAGGCCCAAATTGATGTAATACTCCAGTGAAATGGCCTTTCCTTGAACAATACCATAAATCATGTCAGATTTATGCTAGAAGTCCTACAAGATCAGGTTTCCTTTCGTACTTAAGAGCAGATTGCAACACAGAATAATTCACTTGCATAAAGTCACAGTATTGGTTCATCGTAAAGCCTGGAGCTTTAACCAGGTTAAATTGAGAGCTCATGACTTAAAACAAGGCATGTTACAGCTTGACTGGAGTAATGATTATCATGCATGGAGTGACTCCTATCTACTGAATATTTCATTCTGCAGGGTAGCTAGAGTGAGGATTTGAAGTGATGCCTGTGGGCTCTTCTTACTGTGACATTGGCCACACTGAGACTTGCTTTCCAAGAAGCCTTTCTTAAGGACCCTGCACACTGGCCTGGACCACCCTTTTGGCACCTGCTTTCATAACAGTTGTGGATCCTAAACAAGTGGACAAGCATTTTCTGGATAGGCAGCATTAAGTGGGCAAGAACATTTTCACTGAAGTGGACCTACATTTTTCAGCTCAGGTTCACCAATTTAACACCTGAGCCCCCACTTCTTCATATGTAGTAAGAGGTAACAAGCTTCAGTATTTTGAAGATGGATGGGTGATAATCAAGTTCTTGTTGATATGAATGATGGATTTGGGAATTCTACATGAGAATCTTGTAACGCTAAGAGCTAAGCTTTTAAAGATCACTTTTAAAGTTAAGTATCTATAGGTTGTAGAGAATTTGGGAAACTGTGCTCACATTAGGACACCTGGAGAAATCTGAAGTACTACTTTGGACTGGTATTGGTAGTAAGAATAAATGGTTCAAAAAAACCAAAAGAGTATAATACAATAGTAGAGGTGAACATGCTGAAAATGTATGAGACAGCACTAGAGTTAACTGTTTTATGAAGAAATATTCTAAAATTACAATTTTGGAACACATTTTTTCCACTAGGAAGAATGTTGTAGCAAAGCATCAACTGTCACTTTGTACCTTATGTGTTTAATTAATAAGATTGTAAAAAGGCCTTTAAAGTCCTCCCCTGCCTCCCCAGGGGTTTGTTGCTTACATTGTAGGTACAACCTACTTCAGTGAATATGGAAAAAATTCCTGCTATGATGACAACTGCAGTTTACCCAGAGATTTGAATAGTGATAAAAAAAAATATTACTGTATCCAGAGGAAAGCTGAACAGATACACTAGGCAAGTGTCCTAACGTATTTTCCCTTAAGCAAAGTTTACTTACTTCCTACTATTCAAAGCTTACTGAGAAAGTAAGCAATCTAAAGCAGATTTAGCTTCCCTAGTTATTGACTGCTTAAGACAGTTGACTTATTTGCAGAATTGGATAACTGTGAAAGGCTAGCTGTGATGCCAATGGTGTTAATATCAATCTGGGGTAAATGCACTGTAATAGATGCCTAAAATCTCAGTATTTAACATTTTGGGATTTAAATGAGTTGTTCAGACTCAGACAGCTGTGGCAAGCTCTAAGATTTTCATCTGGCTTTCTTTAATAATGAGCGTACATGCAGACAGGCTATAGTATCTTGAGCTAGCACCTGCAACTATTTGCTATTTTTCCTTTTAATCTGCACTAGCCTCTAACTTTCAGACAGCATTGCAGTTCTGCCATTCCTTCCTTGTGGACTTAAAGGCATTTTGGAAAAAAAAATTTTTTCCCTGTTTCCACAAGCATTCAACCTCACAGACCTACAACAAACCCAAATACTTCCAAGTTTGCCCAGAAATATGGAGGTGCTGACAAGTGCTCCAGATGTGGGGATTCTGTGTATGCTGCTGAGAAGATAATTGGAGCTGGAAAGGTAAAATATTATATTGAGTAACAGTAAATGACTTCTGACATTTAAAGGAAGTTTGTCATAAGCTAAACTGTTAGAAGCCCACATGGAATATGCGCGTTAGTATGCAGTGTAGGCTGTTCATCTGGCATGTGGTCTTTGAACAGTCACCCTGTATCCTCTTGGAACTACAATGTTTGTCACCCAGGAAAGTAAGTGGGCAGTCTTTAGAGTGTCGCACTGGCTTTGAGGCAAGGTCTAGGGTTGTGTGACATTCCCCAGCCTATGGAATGAAGCTTATACCTTTTGTAAGTGGCCTAGAATGAAGACCCCAAAAAAGAGGGTCTCACTTCTAATTGTTTCCTGACCCCAGTAGTCAGGAACTTGCATTGGGTTGGTACTCCCTGTCATTTATCAAAACTTCTGAGTTATACTACAGGGAGCTGGTCTTGTGATGCAAATAGCCAAACTGCTGCCAGCTATACCAGTATCCTATACTGGTTTGAGTCCCAGCTGTCCTGCTTCCCACCCAGCCCCCTACCTACGTGCAAAAGCAGTAAAAGAGGGCCACTCGTGTGGGAGGCCAGAAGGAATTCCCGCCTCCTGGCCTTGGACTGTTCCTGCGCCAGTTACTGGGGAGTGTGAACCAGCCTATCAGTGCCCTCTCCCCATAACTGCTCAAATAAATTGTGAAATACTGCAGGAAACAGGCCGCTAAGTGTGCTACCACATCTTGTTTCTAGCCCTGGCACAAAAACTGTTTCCGATGTGCAAAGTGTGGCAAGAGTCTTGAATCAACAACTCTGACCGAGAAGGAAGGTGAAATCTATTGTAAAGGTAAACTACACCATTGATCACCACATGAACACCTCTCAATGGCTATAGGTCTATCAGATTCCACAAGCATTAGGCAAAAGTACTACTCCAAAAATTAGGAAAAGAAACCATGTTATTGGCTATTAGAAAATAAAGGATTTAGGGGTAGATACTGTGGTGCAGCACGTTAAGCCACTGCTTGAGATGTTCAAATCCCATTTGTGAGTTTTAGTCGCAGGCTCTAATTCATATCTTACACATCTGGGAAGCACCAGTAACACAATTTCTTGATTCCCCGACAGCCACATTGGAGATGCAGATGGCATTTCTTAGCCTCCAATTTTAGCCTTTCTCAGCTCCGGCTGTTGTGGGTCTTTTGGAGAAGTGAACCTACAGATAGAAGACCTGTAAATAACTCAGTCTTAAAAGCCAGAGATGTTTACAAATGATGGGAAATCTAAGGCAGTGCCTATTACTGCCACTTAAAACTGTTCATAAATAAAAAATCAGATAACTTCATCACTTAAGTTAAGCATATGAGTATAACCTACCCAGTCTTTTATGCTTGCTACACAAAGGGACCATCAGCCTGAGCATTGTGGAAATAGTCCCTTGAACTTGTTTTCATAACTTGCAGATACTTAAAAGCTCATTTTATATCTTAGATAAATCGAACTTTTTGACCTAGTCAAGGGTAGCAAAGCTTAATAGACTTGCGCTAATTCTCCTTTTTCTTTTCTAGGATGTTATGCAAAGAACTTTGGGCCCAAGGGATTTGGCTATGGTCAAGGAGCAGGAGCCCTTGTTCATGCTCAGTAATGTTGCAAGCACAGAACCAAGCAATACACACCAAGAATCTCTTCATAGAAATCTATACACAAATAATCTAACACTAAACCACTGTGAGAATCTACCAGTATTAAGTATTGCCCTGTACTTAGGATGGCTCCTTGTAAGAAAGCAATGTATCATTTTGCTTTATTGACCAATTTTAAGAACTATTCCCTTATTTTCAATAAAATTTCGCCTTGATATGGATGTGTGACTTATTAGGGGAAGTTCTGTCTCATTTGTTACAAGAATCAACCCCATTACCCAGCTGACCTCCGACTGTTTGTACTCCAGGTGGTGAAAGGATGGTGTTCTACTAACCTTGCAGGTGTCTCAGGAGAGTTGCTAGGCAACAGCATTGCCCTGCTGGCTTGTAAGAGCTGTCCACCATTGTTGTTGCAGTTTTTCTTCAGAGCAGTTTACTGAAGTACAACTTATACTCTGTGTTAGAATTACCTAGAGTATTAACAAATGATGGAAAATCTAAGGCAGTGCCATGCCAATTAACGTGCAGTTAGGAAGGGCCCTCAGAAGCAGAATCTTGGGGGCAGGGCCATAGAAGACCTTTTAATAAGTTGCCTAAAGTCGCACTGACCTTGCTTGGGCAGAAACGTGTGGAATGTGCATATAGCTCCTCTTTTAAATGGCTCTGATCTGTGAGAAGGTGGCTGCCAAAGTCCTAGAAGCTGATGCATTGTTCATGTATTTCAATTCTATGTAAAGAATATTCCATTGTCTGGACTTACCAGTGAGGAGCTGTAGACCAAAAGGAATGTTTTCATTATCTCCACCGCAAGGTGAAGGGTATGAAATTGGTCTGTTGATTAGTAAAACTGCAAACACAAATTTTTTCCAACACAACCCCCTCTGCGAACACAAATTTTTTCCAAAGGCCATTTCACACACTACCTGTTCTGAAAAGTGAACAGGGGTTACATATGACATCAACCACTGAGCATTTAGTGAGGAGTTGACTGATGATATACTGGGTGAAAACTTTTACATCATAGCTTTGAGCAACTATTGGTGTCTAAAGCCTGCCAGTCAACTGTGAGGGAAGGGCCTTTTAGTTAATAAGCAGCCTGGAAAAAAGTTAACTGGCAAGGAAAGATTAAACTGAAGAGCTGCAGAGTAACCTCTAATCTGTGTGGTAGTTTTACTAAACCGTGTCCATAGATTCTGACAATGGTAAGAATCCTAATTCCCATTCCTTTGAATAAAGGTCACTAAGTTACCAATCCATAAATAACCTAACCACCTCTTCCTAAGTTTTGCTTTAAAATTCTCCCACATAAAGCAGCTTTCCCAAATAAGGGAAGCCACAATACCTTCCTAAAGTAACTAATTTTTAAATGTTTACTAAAGCATGTTTAGACATATTTGCATTCACACAATCACTCCACAGGATCCAAATTTCTTAAAAACTGTACTCATTATTTAAAAAAATCTTATCTACAAATTCATACAGATTTAGACATTTCAGAATCGGAAATTTTTAGAAGAGTAACACCACCTTTTTTCATTTTGTGAATTCCAATAGTTATGCCACTTGACTCCTGCAGACCAGGATACCACTATTCAGAATAACCTTTTCATATCTTGGTACCACTCTCACAGTTTCATCAATTTCTTGAAGAAGTTAATGAAATTAAAACAAGCACACACTTAAGAGTCAATATTTATTCTGATTAATATTTTACAAAATTTTGACAAATTTAATTTATGTAAGGAGAACTAATTTATTAAACACTTTACAGGTTTTTCTTTCCACAAAGTAACACAATAAGTAGCAAAATAATACTTGGCACATTTATAAATAAAATACAAAATTAAAATTCCATTGTTTAAGTATAATGCTGCTTACATTTAATAATTATTTCAAAGAAATCTCTGGAAACAAAAATATGAATAAAAAAAAACCTCCAAAAGGAATTTTTGGAGTGGAGAACTGAGTTCCTATTACAAGTATCCAATTAAGCTGATCAGAACTATTCCCAAAAGTTCACCTTCACATACAACTTTAGAAGCAGATCAAGCTGGTTCCACACCCAGGACCTACAAAATATTTAGACCTTCAGGTACACTGCTGCCTCGCTGGCTCCTGACCACCTGGCCATTTCTGAGTTACAGGCGTCTCTGTTGGGATAACATGGTTAGCATGTACATTGCTATGTAAAGCATCATTAGTTTTTTTTTTTTTTTTTTCGTCTAACTGAAAAGATATGTCTTTTGCACCACCAGAATGCTTGGTAACAACATTCTTACCCAAACGATGAAAAAAAAATACCAGTTTTCAACTGTTGACAAAAATGTATTAGATAAAAACTGCAACTGAGTTTTCATGTGAAGTGGCTTAAAGTACAAAAAATTAAAACAAATCCTAGCATTTTATAAATAACTCTGAATTTAAAAATCCTCTAAAATTTTCCCCAATTAGTCAAAACTAGCAGAGACATTTTTAAAGCTAACCAACTTTTTACATTCTATGATAAAATGATACAACACCATTGCCACTCCACACCCAGTCTTTTCCCTTTTCAAAAATAAAGGACATGCCAAATTTCTAATATTAAAACACTCAAATACACTAAGAGTAATCTTTGATGTGTGAAATGGGCAACAGAACTACTATATAAAAATGGTAGTACTTGGAAATACTGAACATCAAATATATACATTTTCACTGCTCCTCTTACTAAGGCAAGGGGCGGGTATACCACTAGATTGCTTTAATGCCTGTAATCTGAATTATACAGGAAATACTAATTTTACCAAGTATCAGACATGCAGTGAACTTGCAGGGTATAATGCCTATTAACAGCAATATTGAACACACTAGAAGCTCATTAGTTATCTCCCTTTTCCTTTTTGGTTGGATAAAATGAAATGAGCAGCTTTAAAAACACTAACACGAACACGAAGAGGAAACTATTTGATAAATTATTTATATACAGATACACATTCTTTACATTGGTCTAGGATCTTTCATCGGTCTGACCACCCTTCTCCCACCTCCCCACCTCCCGCCTTCCCCACCACTCCCTCTCACAGGTTGCCCACAGGTTGCTCGAACCACAGTTTGCTACAGCTTTAAAGAGGACTAAACCAAGTCTCCTTCTGTAAACAATATGGAGGCAGTGACTAGTAGCTCACCATGAGTGAATGGAAATGCTGTAACAAAAATTAATCAGTGCATCACATTTAACAGTAAGAAAATCTTTGAAACTGCTTCAAATAGCATTAGTAAATTTTTAAAGATTTTGAACATTTGGGAATACTGAAATCATTCTTGGGATTAAATTCTGCTTTCTTGAAGATCATTTTTTAAAAACCAGAATGTATCATTCTTTTATTCATATGTGCTATATACAGAGATCATGCTCCATCGTTAGCTAAACTCTTACTTCGCAGTTCAGAACTTTAAAAGCTTATTTGTCTTGAAATTTTATAACACATTCTGCCTTTTCTTGAATCCACCACCTCAATTCTTAAAAACCAGACTGCACATCAAAATAAATTCTAATTTATGCTTCAATGGGTAGTATCAGTACACATTCTATGCTGTGTATCATGCACTTAGTAGGGCTTTTAAATTTGAACAAAATAGTATGACTTACTATTTCTCATGCAAGTGCTTTATTACCAGGCCATAAAACCCAGAGCAAGGTTACTACAAATTATTTCACTGAACTAGAAATATATCAGCATTGCAACAGCTGAAACAAAATATTATTAGCACTTTTTGGTGAACATTATTTTCTCGAGCCTTTTTAGACACATTACAGTAGATTCCTAATGAAATCACATGATTTTCATCACAGTATTTACATGTACATTCTGAAATGTACATAATACTACTCAATCAAGACAATTCTGGAATTAGATGCAATATCTTTCATATACTGCATCATAGGATTTAGTCATATAACAAATTTAAATTTAGTTAGAACTGAAAATTTCTGATCAGTATATCACATCTATCAATGAAGTAAGTTTGCTCTTTTGGTGAAAAATGTTATAAAAACAAAAACCAAGAAGTTGAGAATTCCCACATTAAGAACCACTAAAATTCTTTTTATGATCTTTATTCTTCCCAGAAGTCGCAGTGTATTCTGTCCATGTTAACTTTTGTTAATAAAAATGTTGAAAAAAAAAAAAAGCCTGTAAAATTCACTGTTAGCCCTACACATAGCATGCTATTATTTGTTCAAAGAATGTGGATTCGAGTGTGAGAGAGACACGGACAGACACAACTGTCAGGCACCACTCAGCAGGTTTGCTTCCCAGGAGAAAGATGCTGCTACACAAGCTGGTACCCAGATCCTGATATCTGATCATACTCTATTGTATACTGTCTGGTCCAGTCCACGATAACAGGACGAAAGAGGCCACAGCATCGAAATTCAAAGAAGTCTATAATATTCCTTACACATCCATGGCTAAACGGTGCCCCAAAAGAAAAAAGAAAGAAGAAAATTAGTAAAAACCATTCAATGTGTCTTTAATATAATTTTAGTATACATGTTTTCCCCTAAACTTAAAATCTCAGGTTGCTAGCAAAAAAGTACCAATTTATAACTGTAAAACATACATGTATATTCATGCTTCTCCAGTCTGCAAATAATGCTGTCTTACTAATTTAAGGGGGTTATACAATTCATACATAGACTTTAAAATCTTTCTATATTTATAAGGCAGACTATCAGATGGAACTATCTTCTCTCTACCATTTCACTCCCTAAGTGCCCACAGAATCTCTGCCTTAACTAGACCAAAGCTAGAAGCCTGGAACTCCATTCTGACTTCCATATGGTTGGCGGGGGTCCCAGTACTTGGGCCATATTCTGCTGTTTTCCTAGGCACATTAGCAGGAAGCTGCTAGAAATAGAGCAACTAGGACTTGAACAGGATGGCACACCAATGCTGGCATTTGGAGGCAGCAGCTTCACTCATATACAGGTATTCAAATTTGCATTTCTTTCCAGTGCCAACTGCAATTTTTGAGAAATATTTCATGATTGGTGGTCCTTTGGCAAGGAGACAAACTGTCTCAAATTTTAAAGAAAGAAATTACGAATAATTACAAATAGTATGGAATTTGGCAAAAGACCCAAAAGTAACATTTAAAAATGTAAACGACAGGGGTCACCATGGTGATTTAGCAAACCAGTCTTCTGCCTACCAAAACCAGCCAACTT